TATATATATATATATAAATGTTATGAATATTTTAAGCATGCTGAATTAAAAACTCTGCAAAATTCTGTTGTTTTATTAAATAGGGGACAGTTTCTCCATTTATTACTGATGCATTGGCTTGTTTTATTACCTTGGACAAAATAATTAATAATTATTAGAAATAAATCATCACTTGAATACAATGAAACATAAAACATATATATATAAATTTCAGTTAATTTTAACATATTCGACGGCAAGTTTCTGAAAAGTTAAAAACTTATTATGGATGATAAACGTTCACTCAAATATAAACTCTCGATCCTCCAAACGTTAAACACACGCGTATTATCTATCATTCGTTACGAAACCAATATCTTCCGTACGCGCCGCAGGGATCTTAGGACAAAAGGCGGGAAGTATACTGCCTAAATACACACCATCATTCGTCATGTGTTTTTTTTTTAGCTATTGGAAAAAACTCACAAGACCACAAAACACTTTTGAAAGCTCTATTTGCGCAGAAGATTAAGATACGCCTAATCCCAACAATCTGTAATCTTTAGGTAACCAAGGACTTCCGCGTCTAATTGACCCTGTGTAAGTTCGATAATAAATCAATGCCACACTGTCCGTTATCACGAGGACTAATCGCTGACTTCTGCTGCACCACAGCATGGTATTACAGATAAAATGTACTGGATATCATTGGCTGAGGCTTGACACATCTGACAGCTCTATTTTATTACCAAACCGGAACCACCTGCGTTTGTTCGGTTATAAATCTGCATAAATCACTGGCTTTGTGTAACAGAAAAAAAAAAGGTAGAAGAAACAATGTACGTAACTTCTTTAGCCGAACTTAGGTTTGAGGGGAGGAGGGTCGTATTGTATATTATTTGTTTATGCAAATCATAAAAGATTAGAGATTTATTTTATTGCAATACGAAATATTTTAAAAGGTATTTGAAACTTAAAATGAACGAATGGTAAGTATTGTTAACTCAATCATAAGCTATAGGATTCTTGAATGCTTCCTAAAGGGAAAAAACATTTCTGAGCATAAGATTATTTTTTTCAGGAAACCAAATAAATTATAAATTAGTACCCAAGCACAGCGGGTTGTCTGCGGACTTACAACGCTAACAACCGGGTTTCGATACCCGTGGTGGGCAGAGCACAGATAGCCCATCGTAAGCTTATTACGTAGATAGATGAACTTTTATTATTATCTTATGACTCACGAGTGCCATATTGATTTGTAATATAATAAAAACATGCCTTCTTTCTGTTCATTATACATATTCAGCGCTTTAGGTATTTCTCAGTTATAAATGTTTTGAAGTATTTACAAAAGTATTTGATTAAAGTTAGCAAGCTAAAACATTTGCTTTCGTTTTGATATTTTCACCAATATATATCAGCTGATGCGGATTTTCCCATTCTTTCATTATAAACGCCACACGAACAAAATCATGGCATTGATTAATACAGAGAACTAGTTAAAGTATCCTTTCAAACATATCAAAACCCGGACTTTGCGTTTATTTAGGGCTAAGCAGTCGAAACATACAATGGAATTAGGAAAGATAAAATATAGCTTAAGTGGATATAGATGAGAATAGAAAGTGGGTAAAAACGGTTTAACGCTCTTGTATAACAATTATAAATAGGCTTACTAAGTAGTAGATAATACAATCCTCTTTGAAAACAGAAAGAGAGAACTGTTTTAGATTTCTAGGCCGGCCTATAGTTATAACACGAGGATAAACAGTCCATCTGCGCTTCGACAACTTCATTTTATACAACTGAAGACTAAATTACCCAGATTTGTTCTCACAGACTGCTTGACGAACTTGTTTTTTGGTCTGATTTTATCTGATGTCCATTAGAGATGAGGGTTTTCAAGCATATGCCACAAAGCACGTAACAGGCTGGTGTCTTATCGCCTCAGCCGGAGTCGAACACAGTAAAACGCTCTTTGTCGGTGTTTTGTCATGTGACAAGGAGTCATGGCACGTGCCAGTCGCGGGGTGCTATCTTGCGGACAATACAATTATTACGCGAGGAACTGCTGCCGCGCGCAAGTCGGACAAGAGAGGAGCGGTATAATTACGACGTGCAGTGTTGATGAGAACATTTGACGCCCAATAATCGCATGAAGAAACAAAATGAATCGAATTAGATATATATCGGTGTTGGTGTTTTATTCACGTTCACGTGCTTCGTGCTATGGCTGTCTTCTAGCAAATCATAAATAGATGAAATGGGGGAAGTTATCAAGAGGTGGTTATATTAGAAAATGATTTTTTTATGTACACATAATACCTCGAAGATTTTTTTCTTTACAAGGACTGTTTTACGCGCTTGTGTTCAAGCACAATCACCGATTTTTATACTATATTCAGTGTAAATTGCAATATGTTAAAGAAGAATGTTTTGGAAAGAAAAGCTTTAAAAATAGACACGTATATATATTTTTATCAGAAAACAATGCCCATTTGAGTATACATCATTATATATATATATATATTGTGTGGACCTTAATAACACACTTGATTTGTTCTTTGTTTTAACCCAGTCCCAGCTCCAGCTTCTCTCAACTATGGGAGGGGCAATGGGACATATGATGGGGCCTAATCTAATGTAATTAGAATAATGGACAATATTATCTTATGGAGACCAACGCCATTCCAGGGGGGCTTGATTCCTATGCTAGCGCATGGTCGTGTAGGAACTTGTTGAAAATTCTGTTTGTGCTACCAATTTTGACTAGCGTTTGTATGTACAAAAATTGAGATTGTTCACAGCCTTTCAGAAAATATTTTCCTCAGTTAAGAAAATTATTAATTTGTTTATAAAACTGGATATTTTACAAAAAGAAAAAAAATAGACAAGGCTAGCAGAGATAAGATATTCTATTAAACGTTTGTGAACATAAATAAGTAATATTGTATTATACTGAAATTAACAAAACCGAAAAAGTTATAGGTTTTTTGTGCTATATCTAGTTTTAAGTATGAACAGACTCAAACATCAAATTGCAGAGACGAAAGTTTGCCAAAAAAGAAATATTTTAGCATTACAAAAACAAAAAGAAAACCGAAGTTGCTTTCGATTTGAGTGTTTAAAGATATATTTAGGATCAGAAAATTTTTTTTTCGAAAGAAAAGGAGTCTAAAAGCAGGCATATAAATAAAAATCACACCACGAAATATGCGCTAATAAAATGACAAATTTTGAAAGTTAGTACTTATTTTACGCTTGTTTTCATATTAATCTTTAAATTGAAATGAAAAATTTTCTAGCTTTTGCTAAGAGAAACAAAGCGTGGAACTGTCAGAGTTGTCAGATTAGCGCTGATAATTATGTTGTTAAGTGTCATCACATTTTATCATCAAAGAAAAAGTTCCAAAGATTGTTCTGCATATTACTTATATCAAATATTTGTTTAACATTAAGAGAACATTAGGAGAACGTTTCCTTCTCTCTTTTGTCACATGTCCTTCTGTGAGTCAGCAGTAATGTTACGGAGTTATAACGCTAAAATTCAGGGTTCTATTCCCCGCGGAGAGAGCGGAAATAGTCCAATGTGTAGCTTTGCGCTAAAACATTATGGAGTTATCACGCTAAAATATAGGGTTCGATTCCCAGCGGAGAGAGCGCAAATAGCCTAATGTGTAGCTTTGCGCTAAAACAAACAAACAACAAGAAATTTTATTATATAACGCTTGTTTTAGTCGAATATTTTAATGTTTTACGCGTAATTAATAACCTAATATATTTATTACACTTAATATAAGCAGATTTTATAAATCCTGGTGAAGATGTGGTTTGTGTGTTTCTATCTTTCTGCGATTGGCATATTTATTTCAGTATCTAAGATAACTTTAAACGTTTAGGTGATTTTAATAACTTTACTACTATCATATGCGCTAAGGATGACATTTCTGGAGACGCACACTAAGACGATAAGCCAAGTATCACGTTTTTTTGCCTTTAACAAATTACCAAAGATTTTGGCAGAAGCTAGCTGAAGCATAATATTGTCCTGAGAACAGTATTGTGATCGACATTCAATAAAACACAATGTACTATTATCAAGATACCTGTTACGTCTCAATCGTGGCACAAATGTAAGAGAACAAACAAAGCGTTAACAAACTGTTTAAAAAGAAACACTGCTTTGACTAGCAACTAGATCCTAGAATAATATGGCTATATGCTTAAATAAATTCTAATTTCTAATGTACTTTATTAAGCTTTTTCCAATTATTCTAATTTCTAATGTATTTCTTTAAGCTTTTCCAATTATTCTAATTTCTAATGTACTTCGTTAAGCTTTTCCAATTATTCTAATTTCTAATGTACTTCTTTAAGCTTTTCCAATTATTCTAATTTCTAATGTACTTCGTTAAGCTTTTCCAATTATTCTATTTTATGAAATCTTGCACGTGATATTTGATAGAAGTAAATTGAAAATATGTTTGTGTGTTTATAAATTAATTAAACTTATAAGTCTGATGTTTTTATAATCCTATGTTTGTCACATTTCGCCTAATATTTCTGTTGCAAAAATACAAATTTAGAAACGATTGAGAATAAACTGTTTAATGTAAGTAAAATTAGTTTTTTAATTCAATTTACTGTCATTTATTCACAATACAAAACTGTTTAATGTAAGTAAATATTTTTGGTTCAGTCTACTGTCTTTTATTCGCAATACAAAATTTAAATAAAACAATTTACAATTATTCTCATTTCAAAAATATTTTGCAATTCTTATTATTTTCTCAATAAAAAGGAAATAGTGAGAGAGCGGTAATTCAAACTTTTGTAATTACTTTGTTAAATTATAATCACACAATTATTGAATGCTTAAAACTACAATAAATAAGTCTATTATATAAAAATATCAAAATGGTTCCCGAAGATTAGGTTTAATCTTAAGATGGAGCTATCTATATTGGAAATATATATACCCAAACAAAGAGCTACCTTCTGGAAGTTCTGCCTCTAATTTCTTTTGGACATGTTGCGGGGGAGGTTGACCGCTCCACTGTCTCCATCGTCCATAGAGGTATGAGTGCAAGAGCTCAGCAGTGATAATTTGATGTTCACCCTCAACCTCACTATCACTCGGAACATCGACACTGCAGAGGAAAAGTGGAGTATTTTCTACGTGAAAAACTAACTAACTAAATAATCGTTATCGCTTATATAAATCAAACAACTCAGTGTGTGAATTTAGCTCGTTAATGTACTGCTGGTTTACTCACTATCACTCGGAACATCGACACTGCAGAGGAAAAGTGGAGTATTTTCTACGTGAAAAACTAACTAACTAAATAATCGTTATCGCTTATATAAATCAAACAACTCAGTGTGTGAATCTAGCCCGTTAATATACTGCTGGTTTACTGTGATGAAATAATAAAAGAAAGCTAAAACATTCAAAATATAAACCTAAATGTTATATTTATTTACTGAGCCCAGATCAGCTCCAAATGCTTATAAAATAGAATTCTTAAAAATGGAAAGAGCTCTAGTGACAATACTAAATAAAGGGCTTTGGTCAAAATAATTTGTAACAAAGAAGTTACAGCAGTAATAAAGGGCACTAATGATATGACTGGCTTTACTTTTCTAGTCGTTATGGTAAAATAGCTACCAGAAGAAATATATATATAAACTTATACCAAATAACCTGTCAAAGCACTCTTAACAGTCTGCTGCTACAATACATACTACACTTTCTCACCAGCATCACTATATCCCTGCTATATACAAAGAAGTAAACTTTAAAAGGTATGAAATATCTTATTTAAGAATTATAGTTTTAAATTTTCTGTTATATCGAGGACATCTTATGCGGACCAGTAAACATAGTTATGATTTCGGGATTCTGCTCCTTTATGAATTCACAGGTTGGCCAAATTATTATAATTATACATAATCTTATTTTTAACATTTTTCTTACCTTTCCGAAAAATCTACCACAGACTCCATAAGGGTTTACTTATGGTCAGTCGATACTATAGATTGCATAAATTAAACCTCATAGAAATGCACTTCCTTCGGTTATGTGTGCGCGGGACAAGGCAATCGTTAAAATGAGCTTCTCACTGTTCCACTTTATCAAGTACACCATCTTTAGGGCGCGCGAACCACCCCTCTCATTCGAGAAAGAAGGCGTGAATAAAAAGCCTACTCAAAGACGGCCCTATTTTGTTGTCGGCTAAGTTACGTCATTGTAAAATGTGGCGTCATTAACAATAGACGGGAAAGTTCGGAGACGTTTTTCAAGATTTGGAAAAAGCTGTCTGAGGAAAGCATATAATTTTATTTAATGAATTTTTTTGTCCTTATAATACTTTCTAATAATCACTATAATTATAGAATATATATATATATAGGTATTAATGCTAATTGAATCGATTCAAATTAACTATGGTTCCGCTTTGACGAAAAAAAAAAGTTTCTTGTTGACAATATTTATGAAATTTGTGTGAATATTTACATTAATATTATTCACAGACCAAAATTAATTTAGGTTATTTAATGGCGAGTTAAAAACAACTGAAGAACTCCATAAGTATTATACAAACCACCAATATAAGAAACTTTACTGAATTTCTTTGGTTTTGCTGACCCAAGCCGTGCTGATGAGTCTTGAATAGGAGGAACTGCAGTCCACAGCAGATGATGCGACGAATCAAAAATATATTAGGCCACTACGTTACAGATTATACATCCAGTTTTACCTTTGGTGAAAAAAAAACTTGTAATATTATCCATCATCTTGTTGCTAACTCTAACGAGAGTTGGTTTGAAAGACAACAAAAAACTATGATTGAAAAAAAATGACCTTATAGTTTTGCGGTATGATTGAGACGAGGTGTTGGTATTACTAATGGTATAGGTATTCGGATTATTATTTTTTCGTCTTTAAAGACGAGAATAATTATACCATTAAAATAACCTTTATTGCAATGTATCATATTCTCACATCATACAGAGAACCTTCCCAAGCTGGAGAGCCATTGTTACTCTCAACGATTGCGGGAAAATCTAAACTGACGTCTAAAGATAAATTGTGTTTCAATCTGTAGTATCTAGTGTTAGATATTTATTATGTTGCTTTTGTTCTCTTTATCTTATTTGAATTAACACCAATTAATTGTAAAAGAGGGGCTATATAGATATTTGTGCAATATTAGTGCGAAAAAAATTGAACGTACGCACACATAATATATAAATTATATAAAGATAACATGACATTACTCAATATAACACAACGGTAGTGAGCGTGATATTGTAAGCTTTCTTTCACAGGATACGTTGCCTTACAGCAACAAAGAAAAAATATAAAACCTGAATGACAATATCAGTGAAAGTATATACTTTTTAATCTCGGTAAACTTAAGTATAGAAAATTGGTGGTTTATGACAACATTAAAAAAAAGAGGTTTGATGTAAAATAACAACCTTAAGGTTGACGTGATATAATAATTGTTTGTCCAAGAAAATTTTAGGACTATGCCTTATAGCTTGAGAAGGAGTTATTTAAAATTTATCTTTAACTCCTGTTTGCTACAAGATGAAGAGATAATTTGAAAGACATGAGATTGTTTTGTTTGTAATTAAGCACAAAGCTACACAATGGGCTATCTGTGCTCTGCCCACCACGGGTATCGAAACCCGGATTCTAGCGTTGTAAGTCCGCAGACATACCGCTGTGCCACTGGGGGGGGGCGAAAGACATGAGATGAAATTAGACCGTTACAAAACGTGAGCACGTGGATGTATAGTCTGTAATTACTGAAGATAGAGTTCTGACAACGTTTATTGAAGCGTCGTTGTAACTAACGTTTTGTACTACTAATGTAACATGCCTGGTAAGAGTGAACTTCAAGTTCTTTAATTGTGTCGTTAACCCTAAACACATTCTCGAAATGAAATTACTGCGAAAATGAACAACACGTGAAACTTGTGAGAAACAAGATCTAACTAGTTTTTGATGCTCACGAGAAGTAGTTTCGACAATTCACCAACATAAGCCAAAAAGATAGATAGCTCCCATGTTTACAAGTCATTGTTTCCATGTTGACCTCTCTTCTCTTGTTCATATGTTCCGAAAAGTTCTTAATTACTGAATCAACAAGCTGAATAGGATATCCATTTTCCAATACTGTTTTCCTAATATTAGTTATTTCTGCGTTAGAAGCAAGAACAAAACGAGCAATATTATAATCTCTAGTAATTAAGAGTCATCAAATGTTTACTTATAACTCAGAAATAAAACTATGAAAATTAGGAATAAGCCAGTTACTGTGAGCTTATGAAAGCAATCAACAAAATAAACTTTATTAAAGAAATAATGTAAAAATTAGCCGTGAAAACGGAAAAAAAAGGGATAAACGTTAATCTATTTCTCGTGTGAAAAGATAAGCCTTGCCGACAGTTCATATCATAATCTTAAGAAGCTGTAGAACCGAATAAAGCATTCTTCCCAAATTGTTTATAATTAATCTCTTACATACAAAAAGTTTTTGGAAAAGTTTGTGGTTGAATATAAAAATCTTATTGCGTGGTAAAAAATCGCATTGTGTTTGCGTATTTTACTGATAACTACCCGTGTGTAATAATAACTTTGAAGCAACAGCTGAACTACGTACTTAACCAGATTACCCCTATATATGTGTAAGGTTTGTTTGTTTTGAATTTCTTGCAAAGCTACACGAGGGTTATCTGCGCTAGCCGTCCCTAATTTAGCAGTGTAAGACTAGAGGGAAGGCAGCTAGTCATCACCACCCACCGCCAACTCTTGGGCTACTCTTTTACCAACGAATAGTGGGATTGACCGTCACATTATAACGCCCCCACGGCTGAAAGGACGAGCATGTTTGGTGGGACGGGATTCGAACCCGCGACCCTCAGATTGCGAGTCGAGCGCCTTATCCACCTGGCCTATGTGTAAGGTAGAGGTTATAGATCTAAATGGTTTGCAACCTTTCGGAAACTGCGTAATGTGAGTAGGTGTGTTATACAGAATCAAAAATAAAAGTTACAGACATATCATTTGTTTCGTATGCTTTAGAGATAACATTGCAATTTGTCTTCCCTTCTGACGGTAAGATTGAGTAGATCGCTTGACAAAAGAAACTTCAGTCAGTCCTATATATGAAGAGTTGAATACTTCCAACAGCGAACCTGTACCGTGATCAAATCTTTGGTGTAGATATTTGTCAGAAGTTTTTTCTAACCTCACCGAAGTGGAGCTAGGCCGTTTGACAAAAGAAACTTCAGTCAGTCCTGTTTATGAAGAGTTGAATACTCCAACAGCGAACCTGTACGGTGATCAAATCTTTGGTGTAGATATTTGTCAGTAGTTTTTTTCTAACCTCACCGAAATGGAGATAGGGGTGAATAATATTAATTGTGTGATAACCAGGATACCACACGTAAAAGCATCACGGTTATAAGACCTGACGTTGCATAATCGAATGTAATGCAAGCACACAACTCGTCTGATGTAATTCTTCACAGTTATTATTAAAATATTGTAAGAGACATACCAGAGCACTTAGCAAGGGAAGAGTGTCTGAGAAACACCCCGTCTCTACAGGATTAACTAGTCTCATTTGTTAAAGTTTCAGTTGAGTTTATTAGTTATAATATTAGGCAAAACTAATGCCTCATGATAGCTATGATTGGGTTTAATATACTACAAATTTATGATTGTGTATAAAGCATTGAAATATTTCTCCCACATCAATGCACGAGGAATATTTGATACTGATGTTTTAACACTTCTCTGAGTTAACTCATATATTCAATACTTAAATCATTAAAAAAATATATATTTCATAAAGAAGTTAGTGCTGATATATTTAGAGATAAAAAGATTAACTGTATACAAAAACGACCAGATTTCAGAAAATGTGTTCTTTGTTTATTATTTGTATATAACTTTTAACACAAGCATTCTATTCGACTTTTTAACATAACTCAGTTTTAAACCTAATATTAGAAGTTAACCTTGTGGGATTCTACTTAAAACAGGGAAACGTAAAACATATTGATATATTTATTGTAAATTCTTATGAAACAATAAAGATATAATTTAAGAGTTATTAAAAAATCTGAAAAGAATATAGGATTTTCTTCTCTTTCTTAGTTGGATTTTACACTATACTCGTACTGTGTTCTTTACTATAATTACTTTGTAGAAATGTATTAACATCATATACTATAATCTGACTTAAACTGCTCCAGCCATATCCCTCTCTGGCTCCTCCTCCCATTAAATTTAAAATCATATTTAAACTCTGCGTTCTGAAACGTGTGGGAATATTAACGAAATACCGTATGTGAAGAGGAAATTAATCCAACACCAAACTTACATAGTTCAACCTATTAAATTTCCGCTAGACTGTTTAATTGTTACACTATTTTATATATTATAATGTCCGTTGAGTCCTAATACAGATTCATATGTTTTTATAGGAAAAAATATATAATTATACTATATAAGTTTTATATTTTACAGATTTTCTGATAGTCAACGCATATCAAGAATTCCAAACATCAAATAATAATAAAAAAAAAAGCTAAAAGTCATTGCGAGAAATATCCAGGTTATTTGTGGTTGAAATATACAAGTTTTTTCTGGTTGAAATATACAGGTTATTTCTGGTTGAAGAATACATTATTTGTTTTGATGCTAACTTATATTTTAAGAAATGATACTGCTTTAAAAAAATCAAAATATACTAAGGTTTTGAATAGAGTTGTTTAACAACAAGTTCTTTAAATACCTATAGAATGATAGGTTTGTTTTTTGAGTGTAAAACACTTAAATACACCATTTCGATACTAAGGTCTTATCGTTTCAGTATTTGATTTGTTTAAATTTCTATACTGAATTTCGATTAAAAAAAAAGAGGTCAGTGTACGATAAAAGACGGTGAAAACAATACTGCAAAATTAAATTGTTTTATTACGTA